CCTCCCTCCCTCCCTCCCTCCTAAGTTTATTTATCTTTTTTATGTTCAAAAGATAATCCAAAACTAGTGGTTGGTGGTTCAGAAATAAACATGAATTGCAGCATTTTTTTGTTGGGAAAAACAGTACATCATTGGAACAAGTTGATCTCAGCATCTGATATTCTTGTTTACTGTCATGATAAAAGCATTTAGCTTTACTACCAATTTAAACGGAATCATTTTATTTACAAACTAAAAGTGTGCCACTACCCCTTGGCTTTTAGTGCAAAATAATTTAGGAGGATGTTTTAAATATCTATGATAGACATTTATTTCAGGATCTTGTTTGCCCTACAAATTGCCTTGGAAGTGGTGAAAGGCCCATTTAAACACAATGCAAAAGTCTCATCCAAAGAAATGTAAACACCACCTGTAAATACCTGCTCTGTATTCCATAATTATGAATTTGGGATGAAAGGCTCCTCTGTTTCAAGAGGAGAAAAGTGTGATAAAAAGAACAGACACTGAGCCAGCTGCACACTATATGGGATTTTCCTTTTTCTCCCTTACCAATACTGTAGAGTTGTTGCAGATGAAAGTGGGAATTTCTTTTTTAAAAAAATTGAAAGAGGAAAGAAGTCACTGAAATCAGATGTGACACCCACTTTTTTGACCATAATTAACATGGCCAACCTTGTAGAAAAGTAGACCCTGACTGTATGCAGTTGACCATTTCATTATAGATCTGCAGCTGATACAGTTAAAAGTCTTTGCCACTGAAATGAATTCAGTATATTCTAAGTAATTCTGGATGAGTTGGCTTTGATCCTCATCCCCTTTTCTTCAATGATAAATGGCATCCTGATGTAGATCAAAGAACAGGCAGAGTAAGGTGCTGAGTCCAAGAGACAGCAATATTTGATTTCAAAAGGACAAATGTCAGTGTTGTGATTGCTCTTTAGTGTTACAAACCAGTCATAGTTTATTGTTCTTTAGTGTTACAAACAATACATCATAACAGAACTGAACTGAAGAAGATGATAAAGCAATTTGATAAAGTGATCAAATCAGGTTTTCCCTTCTTCCAATCCTTGTATTTTTTTCCCCTGCATGTCTCCATTGTACTTCTTAGATAGATATAATTAATCCCATTCAAGCTTGCGATTAATTTAATTAAACAACTAAGGGAACTACATATGTTTAGTAAACTTTGCTCCAGTTTCCACAATTTAACGTTTTCAGATACTTTTGGCCTGGCTGATTGAGTCTTCATTTACATACATACCAGTAAGTATGCTAAGCCTAACAAAGAGACAACTTAGGTAGGAACATAAATACTATCTTTCAGTACTTGAAGGCTGTCACAGGGAAGAGAGGGTCGATTCCA